TACATCAACCTAGAAGTTCAAAATCATACAAAACGTGGTCTGTCATGCAGACCCTGAAACAAATATATCCATCCAAGCCCATGCAAGTCTATAATGTCAACATTATGTCTCAGTTTCAGCCAAGGCAGGCATGACAATGTCTAGACCAAGGCTGGATATGGGCTTCAGAATGCAGAGCACAGAGCCCTTTAACAGCCAGTATGGAGCCATAATGAACATTACACTAGATGAGAATATTTAAAGGCATTTGGAAGTTTGACAACATTTTTAGTGCATATGCACATCATTTCAGGACAATCTCCTGCCCTTTCATCAGCCACAAATTTCAGCATCAAAGTATGATGCATAAAGATACACTTTCTTTGAATAACAAAAAAAAAAAATATGAAAATTTGTGATGAACAATGAGTAATGATAAACATTAAAATCATCAGAACTCCTAAACCTATTTTAACAAAATATTCAGCATCAAGACTTGTCATTTGTAGTAAATTACTACCTGTAACCTAATTGTTTACAATCGATATGTCATGTCGAACTGGCACAGATCACCATTCAAAGGTTTAGGGTAACAAAATCCTCTTTAATACTGTCAAATCATCCCCTTTATGACCTGTTTAAGGTCATTAAAAGGTTCAGCAAACACAGGGAACAGGTAACAGAAGACTACCATCTAAGGTTGTAATGTTAACATTGAACAGTCATGCTCTTAGATTATAAACCAGTTAATCTTATCTCCCAGGGATTTTCCACCTCAGTACACACTATTACATATAAACTTAACAGGATATGGGCAATCCATATCAACTGTCATATGCACTCATACTGTACATGCCGTATGTCGGTTGTGATTGGAAAGAAAACAGATACCAACCCAAAACAAGGTCACCTCAACATTTTTTATACTTTCAACCTGAATATTTAATCTTAAATCATCTACTGCAGACAAAAAAAAAATCATTTTGTTTAAACAAGACAATTCATACATATTCATGAACATGATGAAAGATTTCTTCAAGAATACTTGATGACTGTTTTTTAAAATAATCATTTAAACTTCCAAAACAAACATACTGAAATATGATATCTTAACCAAATAGAAGATGAATATCATTTTCTTTTAATTTGCCCTGCTTATAATTCCATCAGAAAGTTGTATATTAAGAAATATTATTGTGCCCATCCAAACCTTTATAAATTCTCAGCATTGTTGAATAACAAAACCCATACTATACTTCAAAACTTGTCCATGTTTGTTTACTATGCCATGTTGTTTAGGACAGAATATATCTCAGAACACAATGTAACCTAAAGTTGATTATTTTCCCTTCTTCATGTATATTATCCGTGCGTGTAAATATTGATTTATAAATGCATTGTACTACAGGCCTGTGGTCTTTCAGTACCGGAAATAAATATATATATATTCAGCATAAAATAAAATATAAATGAAGCTAAAGATATTGCTATAATAAGATTTAGTTATATATTAGCCACTGTGGCCTTAAGAAAACATACACTAAGTGCTGTTAAAAAACTGAAACGGAACATTTAGTGTTATAAAAGAAATATTTTTAACTTTCATTTAACTTGCAGCTAACAGCTTAACAAAACATTCAGTGATAAGATAGTACCATCTTTTCAGCCAGCATGTAAGGATTTTACAAGACCAGCTTGGATGCCAATACTACCAAATTCCGAAAAGGGAATTAAAAACTGCTGCAATAATTTTAACATTACTTTCTTCAATACAGTGTTAAAATGAAATGTTATAATACCTCTGAAATCAGGAAAATACAATAAATACAAAACCACATTTTTCTAAAAAAGTAACCATTATTCCCAATATGCCTTCCAATGGCACTTATAATTAGTTTGGAATAGTAGATATATTCCTCTCATTAATCCATATCGTCTGGGAACATAATGAGCTATTCATGTCATCTTTCAAGACCAACTATGTTCCATAAATCAAATGTTCATGTATCTGTACGTGGTTTACTCAACCCTCTCTGTTTGCTGCTTGTTATCACTGATACTCCATGTATTTCATATGGCTGCATAGTTTGCAGCAGTTGTTTTGTGAAGGGCTTAATGCACATGTCCATTAATCTGACACTGTAGACATGAGAAAGACAAAGACTGCTTTGTCAAACTCAACAAAACCAGCTCCATCATAAGGAAAATGGCAACAGGATGTTAAACTATTAACACTATTAACGTCTTTACGGGCCTATGAAAAGTACATCCCTTGTCCAACAACCAATGAGATGATGGTAAATGCATAAGGACAATAAGTATGGGGAGTATTGGGGAGCTATCAAATTCACTGGGAGTAACATTTAGTCTATGAAATTTCAACTACACGTCCAATTTGTTAAAAAATAAAAAAATTATAACTCATTTTGTCTAGACTGGTTGTAGGTGTATAACTAAATAAATGGTAAAATTTGTCAATCATTTTTGTTTTTGCAATATTCTAGCTATTTCATGACAGTCTGCAAAAAAAACGGAGCCTGCACCAGACAATCCAGTGATTATATATTCCAGAATTATAGAGGACCTGATACTGCATAAATACCTTAAATTCCAGTGATTATATTCCAAAATTATAGAGCACATAATACTTAAAATATTTTGGCAAGCTGGATACCCTAAGAAACCTGAATTTATTGATACATAAAAATCTAGCATCGGGTGAAAAATATAACTGTTTTTATTATCATTAGTAAGTATCACTTCAACAGAAACTTATTCCAGTGAAACTTTCCTCATACTGAAATGAAATACCTGATTCACTAAGATAACATAATAAAATGGATTCAATAAAATATATCACACCGTGCAAAGTGTAGCAGAGGAACTGCTATGACATTGCCAACATATTGGATGCACATTGAAGATACACATTATCAAAATTTGGTATGTACATATTTATTTTTCACAGAATAAACAATTTTACGTATACCTGAGCACAAAGTGTTGACAGTAAATTAACTGCAACATATATTCAACTGATTTTGCTTTGACATTAATCAATTAATCAGGGTACTTAGGTCTATTTGTTCCATCAATTAACATGTAAATAACAAAGAAAACATATTAAGCATGTATATTTAGTGTGAGTGATATGTAATGCAGGGCATACTGACGTAAATCAGAAATCCCAGTTGGATTTAAATAGCTATCAATGACCTGTCATTCTGTTATATATAGAAAGTGGCTGTAAGCCATTTCACTAAATCGTAATACCTTGCTAGGCATACTTGAAGTGCAAAGTGATGCAATATGTGACAATAGGCTTAATCCTGTTACATCACCTCGTAGGTAGTCATAAATAGTTACACTCTGCTTAAATTCAAGTTGTAGGTTTGTTTACAGTACATTCTCTGGTTTATGAAGCTAAAGATTAATTAACATATCTGTTAATGTTTATTCAGTTCATCTGTATTATAGATGAATGAGTACAAATATTCAAATTTTTTCACCAAAAAATCTCAAATTTTTTATATTTCTAAAGTACAAAATCATCTCAGTCTCATGATGACTGGTGTAGATAGGCATTGAAGCTGACTATCTAAAAAAATCATCGCTTTACCTGTGATGACCAATCAATCATAATAAGTGACACCTGTCACTTAGTAATTTATCTAATCCCATCCACATTCTTCACATTAGACCATGATTTCTTTTGAGTCATTCTTAAATAATGAAACAGTAAGTGAATTCACATCAATGTAAAGTTCACAATGCTTGGGGTAAATTTCTGGAAAATTACAATTTCAAAATTAAACTGCCACTGGTTATATTCATAACAACCGAGCTGCATAAAACCTGAATATCAAGATCATGTGGGTGAAACACCGACTTTTATAACACAAAAGGGCTTTCACGGAGGAGTGCAAGCAAAAAAAATAGTATCCTTGAGCATACTTGCACATACTTTATTTTCTCTGTGGGCATGTAGTCACTCAGCCATGGCTGATGATTCATGTCTACCAGTTATGCTTTTCTTTGCCATACATTGTCAAGAAACACTTTGAAAAAATCACTTAAGAATGAAAGACAATGAAAACATGCCATCTAAAGTTTTTTCCTACACATGAAAAACCGACACACCCCGGTATGGTGTGAAACTCTCACTGGGAGACACACCTGTGGACACACCCCTTATCTGTCAACTCAAAAAGTGGCCTTCGCTTGGACATTTTACCACTGGAGGGTTTAGTTATATGACACTGACAACGCTTACAGAAATTACAGCCGAGATATCTTAGGAGAGGGGAGTCGGTACTGCGCATCTGTGTTACCTAGGTAGACCTATTTAGCAGAGATGTGAATCACATGTGAGGTGCTAGTCAAACCCCGGTTGTGTTGCACCAAGCTTTCACTGCACGCACTGGCGAAAACTTTACAATTCGTTTTTCGATTAAACTACGAATGGGAAATTGTAATAAAATTGAAACAGTACTTACCTTTGCTATTTTCAATGCTTCATTAAATTCCCTGCCACCCTGAATTCTAAATCCCCAGGGCGAACCCCCCTTCAAAGCCACGGAGAAGGTACTCATGTTTTGACCGAAACCGCCATGAAGTAATCCGAAGTGGCTCGGCAGGGAGACCTGAGAACGTCACTTTCTGTAAAAGTATTGAGACACAACAATTTTGTTTTTCTCATGCATATAATTAATATGAATTTAACATACCACTTACATGTTGTTAATTGTACTTTTCGGAAGTCTCAACTAAAATCGTATACATATTTTTGTATGACTTGATTTTATCGTATTTGAGAACAGTGCTTCCTTTCGAACCTCAACGGGAGAATTCATTGCTCAGAGGTAGACTGCTAAATCAAAACAAACACACGATGCATCTTTGACCATACCTCTTTCAGTTGAAAACTGGCTGTATCTCGCCTCGTGAAGGTAGTTTTCACTTGAAAATACCACTTTACACCCTGATCATCATCTGTCAATCACGATCACCTACTGCAGGCGCGGCGATGAGCAAGTGCGTGAATAGTGACATATCGTTTACTTCCGGTGTCATGGCAGCGCCCACGAGCCGATGATCATACAGTTCATTATCATGAAATCGTGATATTGTCACAACTTGTGAACCATATCACTTATCATATTTTGTACATCGGTCTCCCTGCAACTGAGAATCAACTGCCTGAAAAATGGGTAAGTGCATTTCAGAAATATCTTACAAATGAACATCTGAAGAAGAACAACAGCTTGACTCAATGACTGTTTCTTTTCCATTCATCGAAAAGTGCACTGTGTCCAGCCCTGACGTCCCCAAGTTACTGTTTCTAGACTGCTTTAGCTGAGTAAGCATTTATTTTGTTCCTGTCTTTTCAGTAAACAAATGAAATGAGATCTTAAATCGGGTACCTTCAACTCCAAAGGAAAAACAAACATCGTAAAGATTTATCATTCATGATTCCTAATCAGTTAATCATGAATTAATCGGATGTAACAAGTTGTATAATGTTTCTGAATGAGTATTGATTGCGTGTCTAGTGTGTGTAAACATTCCTGTTTGGCCAATCTATTTCAGTTTGATTGGGTAGGTATTCATATATTTTGTAGCAGCACGTTGGCAAAATGTGTTATATCTTACGACATCTTCATTACTATAACAGTTGGTAGGGCTGGTATGAAGTCAGATCTTGATGAGCAGGTTCACAATCAAATGCAGATATCCAACAGATATGTTAGATTGCAATGTTTTCATGATTATGTTTGGTTTTTAGTACATCAGATATAAAGAAGGGGGCCCAACCCCTTCCTCCCAACTATACCTGGGTACCTGCTGTAGGTCTCAAGAGTCACATTCAAAATGTCTTATTGAGAAATGTTTTACCATTGCTGTGGCAAAGATTATTTAGATACACATGAAAGATGATCTTATACTGCATAACTGGCAGAAAGTGTTAGCTTTTCTAGCATTGATATACAGTACAAAGGCAATGGATTTTAACTATTGCAGCATCAGTATACCATATACAGTTGGAAGATACCAGTTTCAAAATATGTTAGCATCACTACACCATTCAATGGCAAATCATGTTTTGCAGCATCACAAAAGTTTACAGCGGTAACTAAGTTAGATCTAATATTGTGTTATCATAAACAGTGTCACGATGTGTTAGATCTTAAAGCATCATTACACCGTAAAATGGCACATTATTTCACATCTTACAGCAGCACCATACTGTATGATAGCAGGGCATGTTAAATTTTTCAGTACCACCACACTATACAGTGGTAAGATATGTTAGACTAAAAAACAGAACTGTTTTACCATTCCTGAGAAAGAATGACATATTGCAAATTAACTGCTAATCCCTGTAGATTACACAAGTGCCGATTCAGCCTTTTTAGTCAAGACGTACAATGTTGAATTGATTATCTGACAGCAACTGGACTGAATGTTGCAATGCTGCTGCATATGTATAAAACCCTGTATGAATTGTGTCTAATCAATACACTTCTCTCAGAATCTTAGCATTTCTTATGCTTAACAGAGCTCACTGCATTAAGCATGGCCTAGACATGCTATATCAGTCCAGCTTGACAATTCGTTTGAATTAATGCAATTAGAAGTAAGATTGCAATGAATAAACTAATGAAAGCATTGATCAGAATATGCAGAATGTTTGAATTGTAACTATTACTTCTTTCTTACCCATTGGGATAAAACCATTTATCTTCTGATGCAAGGAATTTAAACATCTAGCCAGCGTTCCAGAGTGTCCCACGTGTGTGTTTAGTCAACAACGTTGAAAGTAAAACCTATTTCTGGAGTCAGTTCCAGTCAGGTTGTAAGTTGTACGGTGGTCAGAGGCAGTAGGGTGGTCTGAAGGGTTAAATAGTTTGATTATTAAAAACAAAAATGTTTCGGGTGACAATGTTTGAAGGCCACTCACTCACTCACTCAACCACTCACTCACTCAACCACTCACTCAACCACTCATCTGGCTTATCAGGCCATCAGACGTTTAGCTGGTCTAGAGTTATAGTCTTAATAGAAATGTTGGTAGTAATAGAACAAGTGTTAAGTTGGAAGTATCATGTGACTGAAGATACTAAAGTACATGTTCATTAATCCTGTGTCTGTAATGTACTGTTCTATAAACTGATGTTCCTGGGGTACTTCTAGTATGCTCCTATGTGTAAAAATCTAATAAAGAGGCGAGTAACGGGATGGGATGGTCAGGCTCGCCAACTTGGTTGACACATGTCATCATATCCCAGTTGTGTAGATCGATGCTCATGCTGTTGATCACGGGATTGTCTGGTCAAGACTGTAGTGTATTATTTACAGACAGACAGCTGGAATATTGCTAAGTGCCAAGTTAAACAATAACAAACAAAAAGAAAGAAATCTTGTGACCCCTATGAACGTAATTTCTAGCATGAGGATTATGACACAGAACCCAAGAATTTCTCCCTTATTTCAAACATTGAGCCCAAGGTCCTGTTCCAAAAAGGAGTCTTAGCTGTAAGATCAAATTAACTTCACAATTTGATATAGGCTTACATTAGTCGGAGGGCTAAGAATAATATTTGGAGGCTGACCATGGTCTTCAGTGAATGAGTGAATTTGGGTTTTACGCCGCACTCAGCAATATTCAAGCTACATGGCAGTAAATAATCTGTAAATAATCAAGTCTGGACAAGACAATCCAGTGATTAACAGCATGACCATCGGTCTACACAACTGGGATATGATGACTTGTGTCAACCAAGTCAGTGAGTCTGACCACCCAATCCCTTTATTCACCTCTTACAACAAGCATAGGTTACTGAATTTAATGCTAACCCGATTCTTCACAGGTCCTGGTCTTCAATCTGTTTATCAAACACTGTCCCGACACGCCCACACTGGTTCCTGCTGATACTGTTAACCAGATCCTGTTGTTGTACAAAATTCATTATGTCCCTACAGTATTGCAGTAATGATGCAAATTTGAAGGACTAGTCATTTTGGCTATTTTCAGTTTCTCCTGAAAATTAACGCGTTTGGACTTCAGATTTGGTTATATTTTGTTGTAGGAAATATGTAACAAATGATGTTGTTGATGCTAGCAGTCGTTGCTAAATGGCAGTATGATCACTACGTGTTCAATGTAATGATAGCTTTCATCGGAAGGAGATTGTTTTTGGTCACATTTAGCATGGAGATTGATGTGTACTGACAGTGAACCAGGCAAGTCATGAATGCTTCATTTTCCATCTCCAAATCCCTGATTGCAGTGGAGTGATTGCTATTGCACAGGGACAACTCTTCCAGGGAGTGAGTATTCCTGATTTATGTGAAAAGGCTTGTGTTTTGGTCATTGTTTCCTGCAGTATTCTAATTTGTTTTCATGTCAACTAAGATGTTATGTAACATCCACTTTCAAAAAAGGAACAGATCCTGATAATCAAGTGATTGTTGGTAAATTATTCATTGAATAGACTGTTCTTCATCAGCCAGTTGTCTGAGGATGGGTGTCTGATTAAAGTTGGATGTCTAAAAATGGGTGTCTGAGGATTGGTGTCTGATTAAAGTTGGATGTCTGATTATATTTGTGTAATTGGGTGTCTTATTGAAACCGGGTGCCCAGATTGAAGCTGGATGTCTGAGGATGGGTGTCTGTTATAGATGGATGTCTGGGGATGGGTGTCTATTATAGCTGAATGTCTGAGGATGGGTGTCTGTTATAGCTGGTTGTCTGGGGATGGGTGTCTGTTATAGCTGGTTGTCTGGGGATGGGTGTGTTATAGCTGGTTGTCTGGGGATGGGTGTCTGTTATAGCTGGTTGTCTGGGGATGGGTGTCTGTTATAGCTGGTTGTAGGGGATGGGTGTCTTATTAAAGCTAAGTGTCCAGATTGAAGCTGGATGTCTGTTACAGCTGGTTCTCTGGGGATGGGTGTCTGTTACAGCTGGATCAGTGGATGTCTGAAGATGTGTCTGTAATATCTGTGTGTCTGAGGATGGGTGTATGCTACAGCTGGTAGTAGGGGATGGGTGTCTGTTACAGCTGGATGTATGTTACAGCTGGTTGTCTGGGGATTGGTGTCTTATTAAAGCTGGATGTCTGATTGAAGCTGGATGTCTGAAGATTGGTCTCTGTTCCAGCTGGTTGTAGGGGATGGGTGTGTTATTGAAGCGGGGTGTCCCAATTGAAGCGGGATATCCTAGGATGGGTGTCTGCTACAGCTTGTTGTCTGACAATTGGTATCTGTGACAGTCTGTTTGAGGATGGAATCTGTTTTCTGTTTTAGTATGTGTGTCTGTTTCAGTCAGATGTTAGGATGGGTGTCTGTTACAGTCAATGGTCTGAGGATGTTATTTCGTTACAGTCAGTTGTCTGAGGATTGATGACTGTTACAGACACATTATCAGGGGATGGGTGCCTGTTACAATGAGTTGCCTGAATATGGGTAACTGAGGGTGGTTGCATATTTCACCCATTTATCAAAGGACAGGTGTTTGTTACAGACAGTTGTCTGAGAAGGGTCAAACATGCATGCATCCTGTTCAGCAGACCTCCATGACAGCCATATTGAAAAATATATTTATTGCCATACCCAACCATTTTTGTTAAAAAGCTAATGGAATTTAGTGTATGACAGCCTATGACAATAAAATGTGATGTTATGCTTTTACATACTTCCAATTTTCTGCTGTGAAAATATATTTTCTAGAACAGCCAGGCTGGGCAAGTTTAACAAGGCATGTTTTTTCTCTTTTGAAAGTTTCTCCTCAAGATGACATCATATTTATGTGGTATTTTGTGTGGAACATCTACTTAGAAAGTAATTAATGTACCTGTTTTGTATTGCACTGTTTTGTAGCCCTGTTAAACAATATAATGCAATAATGTTTGCAGATTTAGTGATATCATTATGTAAATGTTTAAATGTTTACTGTACTTGCTTCATGTTTATTTATACTTTTGAGTATAAGCAACAAAAGCCTGAAAACAATCAAATTGAAAACCTAAATCTAAAAGAAGAACACTGTAATAAATGCACATCAACATCCATGCTGTAAAACCCGTGAAGATATGGGTTAGAATTGATCTTCAGTAAAAACCATGCTTGTCGTAAGAAGCGACTGATGGGATCGGGTGGTCAGGCTCGCATACTTGGTTCACACACGTCATCTGGTCCAAATTGCGCAGATTGATGCTCATGCTGTTGATCACTAGATTGTCTGGTCCAGACTTGATTATTTACAGGCTGCTGCCATACAGCTTGAATATTGCCAAGTGCGGTGTAAAACTAAACTCACTCACTCACTCACTCACTCCATGCTGTAAAATACATAAGAGGGGGCACAACTGTCTCACACTCTCATTGCAAGAGATAGTGTTCATTGCAAGAGATACTGTTCATTGCAAGTGTTAAGTGTTTGCATTTGTGCTGTGTCCATAAGTAATTACCAAATAAACTGCATTCCTGCATATCATAAGAATTACCAAATGATAATTAACAAGATTATTAGTTCCCAAACAAAACAAAACAATACAGAAATATTTTGAAGAAAATAATGTTTCCATCAACCAGCGTTGGCTGTAAAATGCACCATCACTACCTACATTCATTAAACAAATATAAGAAACTCTCAACATCATTGGGCTTATTCAGTGATATTATTGTAGAGATGATAGGTCACTGAGTGGAGCGTATGCATACCTAATGACTCCAGGGACCCAGTTGATAGCTTGACATGACAGGGAATTGTTTTGCAGATGTACCTGGCCAGATATGATCCTGTTGAATCAGATATTATGACATCTTAGTAAAGTGGTGGTACTGTATTCTAATGGTATGAGATACTTTTGCCATTTATATTTAAATAGCATTGCTGATGGTAAGTCTGTTAACTCTGTCTTTGTGTTGGGCCGGTGGGGTAGCAAAAAAAACTAGCATAATGGTTGAAGTGTTCGCTTGTCACACTGAAGACCCAGGTTCGATTCCCCACATGGGTACAATGTGTGAAACCCATTTCTGCTGTTCTGTGATATTGCTAAAAGATGTGTAAAACTAAACTCACTCATTGTCTTTGTGTGAATTTTGAATGTTGACTTTGTTAAAGTGAGCTACAGTGCCCAGGAACTAGTTTTCTTGCACCCCTACTTTTTCAGCTAATTGATGTCTTTCCTCTATGAATAGCTCTCGTATCAGTCAACTTCATGTCACTTTTCTATATTTAGTAAGATTCCAAATTCCCGAAAGTATTTCATGCCCTCACTATTTCAATGACAATTTTTGTTTTCCCTTCAGATGAACTCCTGCCCCTAATAGAGCAGCTGAAGATTACTGAGGACGTGAAAGCCAGAGAGGAGTACCTTGAGAAGCTAACAGACCTCATATCTGAAAGTGGTAAGAAAATATTTAGTGTTGAAGCCAAGCATACTGTCAGTAATATTTTTTCTGTCAGGTTCCAGTGTTAATTTATATTTGTTTGTTTGGTGTTTGAATTGTTGGTTGCAGTGACTATTCCCCCAGAATACTCTTTGATGATTCATTGAGTGACATGTTATGGAGTGTTGGGAATTGGTTAAAATCTCATCATTGATGATTGGTTTATTACAACCGATCAATCATCGAAAAAAATTGGTTAGTGTCATTAATGAAATTTGTTAATGCACATAAAAATAAGAAAAAACATGTAGTTCTTTTGGGGTTTTTGGCAAAATTTCACTTTAAAGGATGACTAGTGTGTCAGGAACATAAATTTCTTTTGGAGTCTTTAAGATAAATTCAATCATGACTTGAAACGAAGCTTGTAGTGCTTATGAAATGTAACAGACAAAACCAACCTTGTGAAAACTATTGTTGATGAAAACAAGTGTTCCAGAATTGTTTGTGTTCGATTATGAGAAAACATGATCGATTGCTTGGTCGCTTAGTCACTGCAACCAATCTTCGATTATTTCAATTAATCGAC